TTTGTCCATCTTGTTTAGTAATAAGTATTATATTTTCTAATTGATAACATTATAACAATAAAACATATTTATTTTAAATTTTACTTTGTTTTAATGTTGGTTATTTAAGTTAATAACAATGTAACAAATTAAAAAATTTATTTTTAAATTTAGTTTGTATCATCACTTTTTACTTTATTAGTGGATAACATTGCATTTGTAACAAGAGATGTCAAATAATTCATATCTATTATAAAATGTTTAAATTCTTATAAAAAATAAATAATTTTAATTATATTAATCTAATTAATCTAACTCAATTCGAATTGGATTTCAAAAAAAAAAAAAGTGAAAATCCAATCCAACCTAAACCAACCCCTCATTGAATTTTAATTGGATAAAAAATTCAATCCAGCCTGACCTATATATACTCCTACGTACTTACACTTTATTTCCTCTTCCCTCTTACCTAACATACTACATTTTATAACTTTCCTTCACTTCCCTTCTACTCTATTTCTCTCTTCCCAAATGAAATGTAAGAGAAACAATAAATAAAATTGAAGAAAACAATAAAAATTTGTTTTTTGAAAATTTTCTAGATCTAAAGCACAAAGAACACAAAGAAAATATATTTTTTGCGTGTATAAAAAATAATAATAATCAGAGTGTTGGAGTTGAGTTTAACTCTATTTCACCCATGAATTCTGAATTGGGATTAATTCGTTTTGGTTCTTTGACTTTCTTCCGGATTCACTTCTATATTTTGATCATAACGATTTTTTTTTTAGTCAAATAAAACAATATTTGTAATTAAAAGTCTTAATTCCTAAAGGTTTATAAAATTATAATTACTTCAAAGACGTTGAGTATAATATGTGAACCACCCGATCCCTAAACAATAAAGAATTTAATCAACACATAATGGAAAAATAATCGTCATGTGCTTCTTCCTCCTTGCTAATACGAAAAGTGCAAACACGGAGAGAGAAAAATAGCACGTCTCCAAGCTCAAAGCAATAACATTAAGTTAAAATTAAGTAAGATTATGTTGTTTCATCTTACTATCAAAATTTGATACAATCAAATAAGAACAAAGCTTATTAACAGAAAGAATGAATACAATTTTTACAATGGATGTTTTCTCTTCTTTCTGAATAATCAAACTTTCTTATATATGTGCTTTATAAAGATGATTATTGCAAATCCTTGAATATCTCTCATAAACTTGCTTTGTTTGTTTCATCTTTGTTCCTTGTGAGGAAAAGTGTGTGTTGGTGTATTAAATGCATTTCATCAAATTGTTACTTCTTATCTAATCAAGAAAGTTACTTATTATCTTTTAGGTAAAAAGAGTGGAAACAAGTGTGTCTCTAGTCAAAGCAACTTTTTTCTAAAGATTTCCACGATTTGAGATTTATTTGTCCTTTTTTGACATAAAAACATGTCTTTTATTCCTTTCATTTTTTATGAGTATTAAAGAAGCTTTTTCACTTCGATTTGTTAAAGAATCATGTGAAAAAATTGATTTAGTTTACAAATATCATAAATGATATAGATTCGAAACATGTCTTATAGATGAAGTACTTTGCTTATTAGACTTAATATCAAGATAACTAATAGCCTTATAACAATTTATTCTGAAATCTTTTCAATATAAAAACGTCTATATTTATTATCATTAAAACTTAAGGCCTAAGGAATCTAAGATCGCCTTTTAATTTAATAATATGCTTTATTCTTTCAAAAAAATCAAATCCAATGTGACATGTAAGACAACTTAATTGTCACACCTTAATTTCATAGGAAGGGTATTATCAAATCCTATCTCCTCTAAAATTCCCCACCCACATCAACACACAAGTTGTTTGAGTCATATCCTTTTATTTTGCCTTTGCACTAGATCTCGCTACCACATTTTTCTTTTTTACTTTTCCAAGAGATTGAGTTATCTCCCAGAAATACACAATAGTTTGTGGTAGATTTACCATCCATAGGAGGCCCAACCCAATTTGCATTAGAGAAAGCCTCCACCTACATATTCCCATGATAAAGATACACAATCCCTTTTAATAGAGCTTTCTTCAAGTACTTAACAATGCGGATAAGTGTTTCCCATTAAGTGTCAATAAAAAGGGACATGAATCGACTAACAACACTTACTAGAAGAGACAATATTTGACCTAGTGACAATGAGCTAATTAAGCTTGCCCACCAATTGCCTATATCTTTGTGGACCTGAAGATGAAACTCCATTTACTAATATCTTAACTCCTAGTAACTTAGGGGTCTTGCATGGTTTGACTCCCATCAAACTATTCTCATGCAACAAGTCCAAAAACATACTTCCTTTATGATAAAAGATCCTATTTTTGAGTATATAACCTCAATACCCAAGAAGTAATCCAAGGCCCCAAAGTCTTTAGTCTAAAATAGAATTTGAAGAAAACTTTATCAATGTCTTTGTTACCACTTCTTGTAATCACAATATCATCAAAATGCACGACAAGTAAAATTCTACCAAGGTTAGTATTTTTATAAGAACACTATGTGATCATTTTGACTTTACTACATTCCAAATACAACAACCACATCCTAAATCTCCAAAACCAAAATTCAGGTTATTGCTTCAAGTTGTATAATGACTTCATTGGGCAACACATGTTACCAAAATACCTTTGAACAACCTAAGTGGTTGCTCTATATACGCCAACTCTTGTAGGTCACTCATGAAAGTGTGGAAAAATATTCTTTTGCATTATCGTTGTGAAGGATACATATGGGACAACCAATTGACTATGAATTTCAACACAAAAAATGACAAAATATGGTGAGTAATTTAGATCTAGATTCCATGATATATAACCACATGGCATAAGAAAATTCATCAACAAAGGTAACAAAATATTTATAATCAAACTTTGAAGTAACTGGACAAGGACCCCATCCATAAGAATAAACAATTCAAAAAGAGCAAGAGCTCTTTTATTTCAACAAGGAACATCAACACTACAATGATGTAGACTCTAACTATAGACATAATTTCCTAAGTACTCCCAAAGATAGATGACCTTGTTGATAATGAAGTTGAAATGTAGAGACTGTAGAAGTTGGAAATGCATGTAAAACTTCTTTTTATAGCAAATACAACCCATTAGATACTCATTCTTTACCAATAATCTTTTGTGTTTACAAATCTTTAAATACGCAAGAATAAAAAAAAATACAAAGAAATTTAATGAATGTGTGATTTGACTAATAGAGAAAAGATTGCACAAGGATTCAGGTAAGTACTAAATAGAAGACAATGGTAAAGTAGGAATTTGGGGTAGTACATCCACTCCCCTTAACATGAACACTAAACCCATTCACAAGGGTAACTAAAGAATGGATACTGGATAGATTGAAAGAACAAAATAAATTTGAATCCCTTGCCATATTGATGAAGATTTTCACAATCTCTCCACTTGGCAAGCGGACCAAGTTTCGATGTAGTATTTAAGTATCGTCCTCAGGGATTTGAGAATTTAGTAATTCTTACTCTAATGATTAATATAGAGATGTTGATATGATTGGAAGTGAGCTAATGTGAGGCAAAATTAAAACGGTAATGTAAAAGTTATAAGAACAATTATATGAAACAAGGATTGGACCCTAGAGCACTTGCTAACTCCTAAATTTCCTTAAAATAAATATGATTTCATCTTCATGACTTCCACGTTCATTTAGTAATTCAACAAGATCCCTCAAAATTGAATCCTAAAGTAATTAATCTAAAACATGATTCCTCTATGTTTTATGATTAACACTTTGCATTAAGAGCAATGACTTGAACAAGGTGACTAAACAAATCAAGTCTATTCCTAGAGCAAGAGATGTTTAGGTGCAAGATTCAGTTCGGGTTTTCAAAAACGTTTTCCAACCGGATTCAAAAACCAAAAATCATACAACGGGTGATCAAGCCGATATAAGCATTAAGAGAAGAATCAAACACAAGTAATGAAAATGAAATGCATATATATATTTAAGAAGAAGAAGAGTTAGTAGTTACATCTAGACCAATCCTCAAAGATTTAGCCCCTCATGGCCATTTACAAGATCAAAGGAGTGGAAGAAGAAATTACAAAGGAAGAGATGAAGAAAAATCTCCTTGTGCGTAGCGTGACTTCAAATCTTTCCAAATCTCATCAGCGTTTTCCATCCACAAAATACTATGACGAATCGAGAGTGAAACTGAATGAACGAGCCATGAAACAACCATGTTATTGCAACGGCGCCATGCAGTGTAAACAGGATCCGATTTCGATGGCTGTGGAGCACTTCCATCAACGAATTCAACTTTGTTCTTTGCGCTGAGTGCAGTTAATACCGATCGACTCCATGAATGATAATTCGTTGAGTCAAGTAATGGAGATACAAGTGCTGTTGCTGGATTTTCACTTGGATGAAGGTAGAGGTAACTATGCATATTTGGAGCTTGCTCTGATGCATCATTCATGGTGGTAAAGAATAGAAAGAACACCAAAATAAGAGTGCGCAGCAGAGCTCTTCAATTGAAGAGCTCTGATACCATAATACGAAAAGTGCAAACACGGAGAGAGAAAAATAGCACGTAAATGATCAAAGACTTGCATTCTTATTATTAACCATCTGTACAGTATTTATATACAAACCAGCTAACAGAGGTGAATAACAGAAATGAAACAGAATAACAAAAAGGTCTAACAGAAAAGTCAGTGCAGGTTAACAATAGCTAGTTGAGTAAAAACTAACTATAGTTAAGACTTGCTGTGGTTCAAGCGTCGATCGTTTTACTATCATTAATTTTTTTTGGATTATTACTAATCTTTTTTTCCCCGGAAAATATAACCTTATAATTTACTTGAAATAACATTTCAAAATGTAAAATTAAAGATCATTTTACAGTCTTCTTAGGTAACTAATGTGGAGGAGCAAGAGAATAAGAAAACAAAAGAGAAAAAGTAATAAATAAATCGAATATCGAGCAATATGACAGAAGGAAGAGAGAAAAATATAGTTGTTAAATGTATATATGTTGAACATTTTGACTTTTGAATAGAGCACAACCAAACAGTGGCTGAACAAGCAAGCAAACAGAAATATATATATAAAGAAAGAAAATAGAAGCTTATATTATATATACAAGATAAGACCAAACATATATTGCATATAAATAAATAGATAGAAATAGATCCTCTTCAACATTTTAAGGCTCAACTATTAATGCACATTGTCGTTTTGGGATTAAGACCCTCCTGGGGTTTTTGGGTCATGATCTCTATTTGCTCCAGTTCCTTCATAGTCTTGCGTTTCCAAATCCACCCTCCTTTCTATTTCCATCACATCCTCACCACTTCCATCACCATGATCCAACTACATAATAGATTGTAAACAAGTTCCAAATCAAAAGAGAGAAACTATATTGTAAACAAGTTCTCACATAGTTATCCAAATCCCTTGAATAATAATTTATAATAAAAAAAATAGTTATAAGAATATATTTTTACTCTCAGAGATGAGTTATTATGAGAGAGATTAGTAGGTAGGAGTACCAACCCTAGTTAAAGAAGTCAGGGCTGAAGAATCTTCTCCACCTTTCAAATTTTGGGTTTCTGTAACCATGAGAATCAGTTCAATTCATTACATATATTTTAGAATTTGGGTAGAAAAAAAAAAAAGAATTATCTAATAATATATACGAGATCTTAAATTTAAACTTTCTTACTGTCTCATAATTTTTATGGAGAAAAAAATATATGATATTATGAAAGGCTTACTTGTTGCTGCAGGAATAGCAGAGGCAGTGAGAAGATGTGAGAAATAGAGAAAGAGCATGAGTAGCAGTAGCAGGCTCATGAAGTTTCTCTGCATCTTAGATGATGATGAATAGCACACAGCAGAAGAAGTTGGGTGACAAGGAAGAGCACTAATGAGAGAGAGAGCATGAAGGTTTTGTGCTTAAATAGGTGGCACATTAAAGAGAATTGAACACACTAATTAATGTACCTCAGGAGCCCAAGAAAGTCAACTTATTCCTTGTATTTTTCTATTATATGCCCACTCACCAAACTTTATTTATTCACGCTTCATAATCACACATGTACTTATCTAAAAATATCGTAAAGGTGCTGTCTGTATTTATTTAGCAGCACAGTGCAATGTCCACAACTTCTAGGATTTACCATTTTATCTTATTAGAGTAAACTATTTGTCTATTATCGTAATTGTGTGTATTATCAACTTGCGACGCTATTAAAACGTTTAATAAAATTTAACTTGCCTTTAATTGTCTATACTTTAGTTGAGTGTTGTTATGGATCGGGTTAAGCCCAATTCGTGGAACTACCCCCACCAGGCCAAGGCAATACTAGGTTAGCTCAAAATCATAAGTGTTGAAAAAGGTCAATAATAGAAATAGAGTTTTTTTTTTTTTTTTTAAAATTGTTTAAATTAAGGTATGACACTAATTCATGTAAGGTCATAATTAATTCAATAATCAACCTTTTTGAAATAGAAAATTTAACATACACTCTCAAGAATTATCCCACTTTGGTTAAAAATAAAAAGAGTAAATTACACTTATATATCTAGTGAAATTTCATATAATTGTGTATAAAGATTTTTTGCTTCTCTTATGGGTTATAATATATGTTTTTCAAATATTTAAGAGGGTTAAGCTAATGTTTAAAGGAGTGTTAATGCAAAATATCTCAAACAATTAAAAAGGTTAGTGTAAGGATAAGAAAGAAAAGTAAAGAGTGTGTAATTTTATGAAACCTTAAGGAATGTTCATGTTATTTACTCGGAGTAAAATTATCATATTGTTACATGAAAATAAGGCATTACTCCTACCAAGAGACCTTCAACTATATATTAAGTTCATATTTGACTCTTATACATACCATTAATGTCATTGTAGCATGCAAACATTAGATATATATTGAAGAATGTTACTCACACCCTCTTTAATATTCTTTTTGTCATTGATTGAAAATTATTTGAAATCATAAATTTTGTGGGTCTTGTCGCTTATTTATTAAGTCTCTCTTGATTTAGTAATAAGACTTACTAAAATTTGTGATTTTCAACTAATAATAGAGAGAGTGTTAGAGTGAGTGTTGCTATCACTTTTCATATACTAACACTCTATTGCATTTTTATTAATTTGAGTATCAAAGTACCTTTTGCAAGTACTTGCTCATTTTTCACAGTTTCTCTTAACCTCACTAGAGTATTAGTTGACCTCAAGTGAATTCAAAATCATAGTCCATTGAAGAACACCAAGAGCACAATCCATAGTCTGCAATCCACCTTGGACATGTTAGCAATCTACTTTGGACATGTCATCCATATCCATCTTAAACAAAACTAGGGATGGTAATAAGGTGAGTTGAGAATGGGTTTTGCCCTCATGCCCCTATCCAAGGTGAGTTTGGATTTAAAGTAAGGATATAGGTTAATAGTTTCTAAACTCATTGTCATCCTCATTGAATTTTATTGGGTTTGAATAAACATGCTTGAAACTCACTATATATTTAAGTGTTGAAAAAGGTCAACAATAATATAAATAGATTTTTTTTTAAAAAATAAAGTTTAAATTAAGGTATAACACTAACTCATGTAAGGTCATAGTCAATTCAATCACCAACCTCTTTGAAATAAAAAAGTTAACATACACTCTCAAGAATTATCTCACTTTGGTTAAAAATAAATTTAAGAGTAAATTACACTTATATATATCTAGTACAATTTTGTATAATTATATAAAGATCTTTTACTTTTTTAATATTTATAGTAACTCCTCTTATGGGGTTATAGTATAATGTTTTTCAAATATTTAAGAGGGTTAAGGTTGTGACACCCTTACTACCCCAACATAGTAATAATAAAAACTTATAAATAAATTTTTCAATTTCGTTTTTCTTTTTTACTTTTCCAAGAGATTGAGTTATCTCCCAGAAATACACAATAGTTTGTGGTAGATTTACCATCCATAGGAGGCCCAACCCAATTTGCATTAGAGAAAGCCTCCACCTACATATTCCCATGATAAAGATACACAATCCCTTTTAATAGAGCTTTCTTCAAGTACTTAACAATGCGGATAAGTGTTTCCCATTAAGTGTCAATAAAAAGGGACATGAATCGACTAACAACACTTACTAGAAGAGACAATATTTGACCTAGTGACAATGAGCTAATTAAGCTTGCCCACCAATTGCCTATATCTTTGTGGACCTGAAGATGAAACTCCATTTACTAATATCTTAACTCCTAGTAACTTAGGGGTCTTGCATGGTTTGACTCCCATCAAACTATTCTCATGCAACAAGTCCAAAAACATACTTCCTTTATGATAAAAGATCCTATTTTTGAGTATATAACCTCAATACCCAAGAAGTAATCCAAGGCCCCAAAGTCTTTAGTCTAAAATAGAATTTGAAGAAAACTTTATCAATGTCTTTGTTACCACTTCTTGTAATCACAATATCATCAAAATGCACGACAAGTAAAATTCTACCAAGGTTAGTATTTTTATAAGAACACTATGTGATCATTTTGACTTTACTACATTCCAAATACAACAACCACATCCTAAATCTCCAAAACCAAAATTCAGGTTATTGCTTCAAGTTGTATAATGACTTCATTGGGCAACACATGTTACCAAAATACCTTTGAACAACCTAAGTGGTTGCTCTATATACGCCAACTCTTGTAGGTCACTCATGAAAGTGTGGAAAAATATTCTTTTGCATTATCGTTGTGAAGGATACATATGGGACAACCAATTGACTATGAATTTCAACACAAAAAATGACAAAATATGGTGAGTAATTTAGATCTAGATTCCATGATATATAACCACATGGCATAAGAAAATTCATCAACAAAGGTAACAAAATATTTATAATCAAACTTTGAAGTAACTGGACAAGGACCCCATCCATAAGAATAAACAATTCAAAAAGAGCAAGAGCTCTTTTATTTCAACAAGGAACATCAACACTACAATGATGTAGACTCTAACTATAGACATAATTTCCTAAGTACTCCCAAAGATAGATGACCTTGTTGATAATGAAGTTGAAATGTAGAGACTGTAGAAGTTGGAAATGCATGTAAAACTTCTTTTTATAGCAAATATTTGTTACCACTTCTTGTAATCACAATATCATCAAAATGCACGACAAGTAAAATTCTACCAAGGTTAGTATTTTTATAAGAACACTATGTGATCATTTTGACTTTACTACATTCCAAATACAACAACCACATCCTAAATCTCCAAAACCAAAATTCAGGTTATTGCTTCAAGTTGTATAATGACTTCATTGGGCAACACATGTTACCAAAATACCTTTGAACAACCTAAGTGGTTGCTCTATATACGCCAACTCTTGTAGGTCACTCATGAAAGTGTGGAAAAATATTCTTTTGCATTATCGTTGTGAAGGATACATATGGGACAACCAATTGACTATGAATTTCAACACAAAAAATGACAAAATATGGTGAGTAATTTAGATCTAGATTCCATGATATATAACCACATGGCATAAGAAAATTCATCAACAAAGGTAACAAAATATTTATAATCAAACTTTGAAGTAACTGGACAAGGACCCCATCCATAAGAATAAACAATTCAAAAAGAGCAAGAGCTCTTTTATTTCAACAAGGAACATCAACACTACAATGATGTAGACTCTAACTATAGACATAATTTCCTAAGTACTCCCAAAGATAGATGACCTTGTTGATAATGAAGTTGAAATGTAGAGACTGTAGAAGTTGGAAATGCATGTAAAACTTCTAGGATGTTACAAAGGTAATGTCTAAAGGAGTGTTAATGCAAAATATCTCTCAAATATTTAAATCATAATCCGTTGAAGAATACCAAGGACATAATTCATAGTCTACAATCCACCTTGGACATGTTAGCAATCTACTTTAAACATGTCATCCACATCCATCTCAAACAAAACTAGGGATGGCAATAGGTTGAGTTGAAAATGGATTTTGCCCTCATGCCCCTATCCGTACAAAAGGGAAGGTGAGTTTGGATTTAACATAAAGATATAGGTCAATAGTTTCTAAACTCATTATCATCCTCAGTGAATTTTATTGGATTTGAATAAACATGCATGAAATCCATTATATATTTATTTTTATAATTTTAATTTACTTATATATTTTTAAGTAAATTATATATATTAAGTTGTTAATCATATCTCATGAAGGGGGGGTGTAATTGACTTACAAAAAATAACTAAAAGTTGTATTATTATTATTTTTTTCTTCAATCCAACCCTTCACACCACTTCCCCCTCTTTTCATTCTCACACATAATTTACACTCTTAAACTTGGAAGAAAAAAAACATTAAAACAATGGCATGGAAATATTTTTCTGACAAGATGAGTGGATTCCTCATATTGGTCCACTTTCAAATTTTGCTGCTAGACCTCTTTCTGATTCATAATTTAAAATTGGTGGAAGTTACTTATAATGATGGATACTGGAAGTAACACTATTCTCTTACAACTCATGCTCTCCTAAGCCATGTTTTCCAAACCATTTGGGATTGAATAGGTCTATTAGCCAAAATTTTAGACATTTTATATATACATGCATCCCAATGAGATGAGTCTATAGTATCCTAGATGTTGTTGATCATCCTTTTGGGGATAAAGGTAATAAAGGTGGAATTAGTACCCTTAGGAAACTTTTCATTGGCTTGGAATTCCTTGACAAAATGCATTATGTTCCCTTTCATAGTAACCAAAAACTTCTTTATGAATTTAAAATTAAGCCTATCTGGTCCAAGGCTCTTGGAGTTACCACAATCACAACTTGTTTAATTTCCTCTTACTCAAAATCAAATGTAAGCATATAATTCTGTGTGTCAGAAACTTGATTAAAGTGGACTCCATCTAGAGTAGGCTTATCATCAACTTGCTCCTGAA